AATATAACCTTAAAATACAAAAACATCCCCCAAGACTTAAGGCCTCATTCTATTTCTCCTTAGTCACAAAAAAGCTATTAATCACACAAACCGCAATTATTTACAATTTAATACCCTGTTCCTGCATCTTGCTTCCTATGATGTTGTCATGGTGGATCAACTCATTTCCTGTTCTTGTTTCTCTTGTAAACCAGAGACGAGTGTATCAGACTATGATCATGACGGTGGTTGGTGGGGCTCCGCTGCTGGCTCTCAACTGGCTGGGCTGCCTCCTGTGTCTGAGGTGGAAGAAGAGACAGGCCAGACAGGTAACCATGGCGATACCATGGTCAAGGTTGTGTGACTGTTTTCTTCTGCATCTCAGTCTCAGAAACCTCTGCCCAAGTCACCAAAGAGTTGAGCCTGAATCTTAATGCAACTCTCATTTCTTTCTTTTTCTTTCTTTCTTTCTTTCTTTCTTTCTTTCTTTCTTTCTTTCTTTCTTTCTTTTTTTTTTTTTTCTTTTTTTTTATTTCTTTTTTCTTTCTTCTTTTTCTTTTTTTTCTAACTTTTGTTCTCTGTGCCCTTATCTTTATTTCCTTTTCCCTCCAAACATCCCCATCTGCCCCTCCTTCCCTCCGCAACCCTCCTCCAAGGCTGTCACTTCTTCCCTCTATCTTTCCCTTTATCTAGTTTATGTTTTTTTTGTACCGTTCTCCCCCCCCCCCCTCTTTCTTTTTCTTCTCTCCTCTCTCTCTTCCCCAAATTCAATTCAATTCAATTTAAATTAAATTTTAAAGGGCTTTTTTGGCAGGGGAAAGTTTTTAACATTGCAAAGCAAGTAAAGTAGATAAAACCCAAAAGGAAATAAAAATAAATATTAACAGTAAATACACTCAAAAGTTCCAAAAGAATAAAGACATTTCAAATTTAATTATGTTATATACAGTTTTTTGTAAAAAAGTGAAAAGTTAAAGTAAAAAGGGGAAAAAAAAGAACATAAATATGGGTTTTTTTACAAGGGGTTTTTGTTCTTAAAGGTCCCCCCTTTTTCTGGGGAAAAGGGTCACAAACTTGCAGCTTTGATGGCACCTGTGGTTTTTTCCAGTAGATAAGGGAGTTTTTCAAAATTTGGGTTTGTTTTCGAATTTTTTTGGGACGCGAATTGAGGGAATAGGGTTTTCTAATATGGTCAAATTTTGGGAGGAGGTTTTTGGAAGGGCAGCTCAGTTCCACCCATTTGTGGGCAGTTGGACTAGCTTATCTTTTAGAGCCCGGTTGCCTACGGGGCCTCTCAATAGCAAGGGGTATGCCTCTCTCCTCTTCTCCTCTCTCCCTTTCTCCCTCATTCTTTTTCTCTCTGTTTTCCTCAGTTTTGTTCCCCGCGACGTCAAGTGCCATTCCATACTGTCACTCACTTCTCCTCTTAAATTTCCCAAAACCACCTCTTCCTATTTTTTACATCCTTTGTCAGACCTTTTTAGTTTTTTTAAAGGCCCCCTCCATTTCAATCCCCACTCATTCATCCCCCACCCTCTCTCTCTCTCTCTCTCTCTCTCTTTCTCTCGCCCTCACTTTCTCTCCCTTTCTCTCACTCTCCCTCCCTCTCTTCTCCAGAGAGTAAAGGCAGTGTTTCAGATGGGAAGAAGAGTGAAGGAGATGGGTGAGTCATCATCTTAATCTGTCTCTGTGAGTCCAGACTAGCCAGCACCCAGTCCAGTCCAGTGGGTACAAACAAATGACTATACGTCCAATCCCCTCACAGAGGCCTAAGCCCTGCCCTACTGACAGACAACACCCAGCACCCACAACAGCAAAATTACAGGACCCTTTGACAGACAAAAGTCTCCCGTTTTGTATGATGTCATATAGCAACAAAAGAGTAAAATGTACAGTAGACGATGTCAAATAGCAGACGCTCCTGTCAGTGTGAATTTGCAATTAGGGGGCAAAGCAACAACGCAAATACAGGTGTCACATCTGAAAATAATTAAAATGTAATACGCCATATGGCATTGACAGGGCTATGCTCTTGTGCACTGTACTGAACTGTACCTGTCTTTGTAGGTAGCTATTTTCTCCCTGAGGATTAAAAAAGAGTGACATACGACGTGTGGGTGGGTGATGGGATGGAGGGTGTTGATTGGATGATGTTGATATGCCTTAATTTAAAAAAGGGAAAATAAAGAAATAAAAGAGTAAGATGGGAGGATGTGAGTGGGTGGTTGGGGAGTTGGGATGTGATGCTGTGTTTTCTAATAAAAAAATATACAGAAAAGTAAAAAAGAATGGAGGAGGTTAGACGCTTCGTTCTGTCTGTCATATCCAGGTCCACTGTGTCCACTGCCAGCGGCTCCATCAGGTATGAAGACAGAGAGCTGGTGAATCCTGCGGCCCAGCGCACCCTCCTCATCGACAACGGATCAGAACCAGACAGCAGCGTCTACGAGAGCTACGCTGGGGTGAGATGAGAGAGAGGGAGGAGGTGGGGAGAAAGGGGGGGGGGGGGGAGAGAGGAGGCGGAGGACAGGGGGAGGGGAGAAGAGAGAGGAGAGAGAGGGCTGGGAGAAGACAGAGGGGGAGATAATAGAGAGAGTGAGAAAACACGAGTGGTGGATGAAGGGGTGAGAAGAGGAAGGTGACAAAATAAAGAGACATAAAGGGAGGGGCTTAGAGAGGAATAGGAGAAGAATAAAGGGAGAAAACAGGAGGGATGACAGTTGGGAGGATGCTAGCAGACAGAGGTGGAGAGGTGAGCAGAAAAGGAAGGATTAAGGAAGGGGGAGATCGGTCAGAAGAGAGGAAGTGGAGGAGTCAGGCATAACGAGGGAAACAGAGGAGAGATAAACGAAATAAACAACGTTGGCTGTTCTTAGAGTAGGAAAGGGAGATCGATAGCCCACAATTAGCTTTCAAAATACACTTAGATCCTGGTGAAATTGCACATTGTAAAAGGCCAATAAGGCTTTGAACCCTGCAGAAAAATGTTAAGTAGAATATACCAACACTGGCAGAAAGAGAGTATTGTTAGAATTGGCTCTAATGCAAGCAAATTCTCCTCAGAGATGTTAGCTAACCTTGAGTTATAGAACAATACATCTAGTCTAGGCTACAAAATATACTGTTTGTCAGGTATCTCTCTCCAGAGTCACCATGTACATTATAGCATCTGTCTCTGTTTTTCACCTATGGTCTTTGTCCTCCCAGGAGAGCTCCCACTACTACTACCCCACCAGTGACTACTTCCCCTCTCTCTACACCCACCCCGAGGGAACACAAGGGTCAGGTGAGAGAAACCAAAATACTACTATGAATAATACATCACAAGAGCAAAAACAGAGACATTTCTCTGTTTAACTTCAAATTAACTCTTTGGCTCTCTTTTTCAAGATGGCCACCGCTACCCTCTAGAGCCCATAGGCCATGAGTATGAGGAGGTGAGAGACTGGGGCATGTATCAGGATGTGCTGGGGTTGTCGCTCCCACTGCCTCTTTCCCAGTTTGACCCCAGGTTACCAGAGCAGAGGGGAGAGTGGAGACCACCACCACCCAGTTACCCTCAGGTCAGCACAACCCCACTGGGATAAAGTACTAGTTATTGATCCCCTGTGGGGTGATGACTCTTATGGTTTCACATATTGGACTAGATGTGTTTTCTCAGCTTGAGTTTTTTCCAAATAACATTGGATGGGAAGTTTTGCCTCAAAATTACTTAAAGTTAGGATTTGGCCTACAGTGCTGTATACTATTGTCATGTCTCTCACCTTCCTGACATAGCTTCCCTCTCCAACAGGGAAGTGGGAGGGGCATGACTTCCCCGCAGCAGCCAATCAGAAGGAAGGATCCGGTGGTTGAGCGACGCCCAGAGAGAAACAACTATGATTTACCTTTTGAGCTCAGAGGACAGTTAGTTTAGGAAGCTTATGCCTTGATTCCAGAATGTGGACAATACCTCAGACTAAAATACAAACTCTTAGTGCTGTGCTGGTATTGAGTACTATATGAATAGGAAGCCTTTCAACTGATCAAATCTTTACTACCAAAAGGTATGGTATTTACAGTAGGTGATGTTGTGGGACAGTCAATCAATACAAACTAGGCCTACCATCGATCCAAAGACCTCAAAGATGTAAAATGTAAAAGATGAAGCAAGAAAACATACAGATTTTTTAGTAACAGTTGACTATACTCTACTGTACAAATATATATATTCTAGTCCTAGGCTTAACTGATACACAATTCCACCATGCTTCCAGTGTATTTTATACACATACATGTCATATCCAAAATATTTCTCTAAGGGCCTTTACTAGAAATGTCACTCCAGCAAGATGAGAGATGAAGAGGAAGAGGGAAAGACAGAGAAAATTACAGTAAACTTCAATCAAGTTTGCAGTCGTGTGGTGACACAGGTTTCCCTCCCTCCTCCCCAGACCATCTTCCTACCCCAATGCCCCACTTCCCTCTCCTCCTCTCTCCCACCCTCCTCCTTTCCACTGCTATCCTCCTCTCTCCCAACCTCCTCCCTCCCACTCTGCTCTCCTCCTCTCTCCCAACCTCCTCCTTTCCACTGCTCTCTTCCTCTCTCCCACCTGCAGACCCTGCACTCAGACAAGCAGAAAGACAGACAGGTAGACAGGGACACAGACATTCAAGGTAGACAGGGAGACAGTCAGACATCCGCTGGCACTGTTGGGCCATACGTGAAGCAGGACTCGCAGCGCCGCCCAAGAAGAAACCATCTTCCATGCGCCTGCTTGCCACGGGCACCTTGCCATTTTGAACAATCTGCTTGTCTGTGACACACGTCCCTCACAGCGGCAGACGAAGCCTGGGATTATTACAACCCCTGGTCACTGTCCAAATCTCCTCCACCTCCCTCCCCCTCAACCACCTTTCCCTCCTTCTCCCCCCAACCTCCTCCCCACTCCTCTGAAACAAAGAGACCCTGAGCCCTCCCAGTGCGCCCCTCCAGCCCTGGGGTGAGCCTCTGTAGGTCGGGGATGAAGGCAGTAATTGAGCGTGGTAATGTGTTGTGAAGGTAAAACCACCACACTGTATCAACAGGCTGCCTCCCTCCCACTAATCCAGTTGTCTTTCACATTTCAGCTTCAACTCATCATTCTAGAGAGAGACCATGCAAGCCATTAGTCCTACTCTGCAACGAGAAGAGAGAGAGAGAGAAAGAGAGAGAGAGAGAGAGAGAGAGAGAGAGGGGAAGGGAGGAAGGCAGAGAGAGGGTAAGCGAGTGGAGAGAGAGTATGACAGATAGATGTAATTTAAGATCTAGGTAGAAAGTCCACCCTCAGATAGCCCTCTAACTTAGTTTTATTGTGCAGATGGGTAGTTAGTTCAAGGTAGTTTAAGTTCATTGCAGGATATTGCTCCCTGGTCTGTACAGATTGAACTGATACGAACATTTTGACGATGTACCTGATTACAAAGACTTGGTGTTATTATTTAGGTGAGGGTTCAGATTAGGAATCATTGTCCTGAGAGCATAGCATCTACACAAACACACACAGGGATGTTCCTCCTCCAACTTCCCATAATATCTGGGGGTGGTGTGTGTGTGTGTGTGTGTGCGTGTGTGCGTGCATGTGCGTGCGTCCCCCAGGAGGACGAAGAACAACACTACTCTGATAATTGCATAAAACTCACATTGAACACACACTTACACACTGACACACTCAAACACATTCAATATTATACACACAGACACACACAACCAACACCCTACTTCCTCGTTCTCCCTCAAGCTTGATTTGTCATATCAGTCAAGAGTGCATACACACACAGACAAATACACACAGACAGACAAATACACACACACAGACAAATACACACACACAGACAAATACACACAGACAGACAAATACACACAGACAGAGTCAAAAACATCCTCTTTATTTACTCATTCCAAGGGGAAAAATAGAATAAGCCACTGGTTCTATTTTAATGAGGATCATTCCGCCTGCTTTAGGATCTATAGTATTTCTGGAGGAGGTCTCCCATGGGATCTCAGATATTGTTTATTATTACTACTCTGTATTGGGAAAATTCTCACCAAATCGGCCTAAAAGCGTAACTGTTGTGAACACAGTTGTGGAAATATTTACAGTTAGGGTCTATTTCAGATCATGCACGTGACTGATAATGATGAAGTCTGTGTTCTTCTACAGTTTACTCTACATGCGTTTCCCCTACATTGCCAGGCATCTGCGGTTGTCTCTACCCAGCTACCCAGATGATATGAAAGAAATTAATCCCATTGATTCACCAGACGACTGGTGCTGTCTCTCAATTAGGTGTGCTATTTTCCATCATGGACTGTCTAGACACATTTGTCTCATCACTGAACAATTGTTTAAGTTCCAGTCAAAGTGACAAGCAGGTATTCAAATGAAATTCTCTTCTGCTGCCGGTGCATCATCGAGGAGTGGAGAGGAACTATAATCTGCTAAATTGAAGGTTTGACAGCCTAATACAGGCACGTCAACGTCCATTTCCCTTCTTTCATGTCATGGGCGGTTTGATGTGTTATGTGCAGAAGAAGGTCTCAACGGTACGAGTAGGAACGGGAAACAAATGGAGAAATTAATTCGCTTAATAATATCAGGTGTTTTTTTTCTCTTTATACACCTCTTTTCTATACCCCTTTTTCTATACAATATGTTAGAACAGAATACACTGGAATAAAAGTGAATAGTCCTTTGTCAATCCCAGGTGACTAATAATGTTGCTGAACCAATGCAGTAACACAAACCATACAATCAGTAAAACCTTACCCTATATGCTGCACCACATTTTCACTTCCTGAACTAAATAGAGATTAAATAGAAATTACCCCAGTCCTGCTGTACAAAAACCTGAGAGTACATCCAGGCAACTTTAGCGCAGTTTCCTGCAGCGGGTTATGCGAGAATGCAAAGTGAATACAAAGAGAATGCAAACTGAGTTTTAGATTTGGATGAAACTAAAAAAAAAATACAAGAGTTGTTTTACGAAAGGCAGCTTTGAAATAAAAACAGAATTAATGGTTAATATTTGATGAAGGCTGATTTGAATCCATGCTAAAGCTAAAAGAGTATGGTGAAGCTCTTTAACTATTGATGTTGGCTAATGGCTTTGATGGCATACACGTTCCTCCCTGCCTGGACCACGTCGTTAAAGAACACCAGAATACAATAAAACCAGTCATTCTAGCAGTGCATTTAGAGTACATGGTGACTAAATGCATTTGCATGTTGGGTAGGCTATAACAGCACAGGGCTTTTAAAGATGTGTAACACGCATTGAGGGATGTCTATTGCCATTTAACAACCATAGAGGTAATATAAAAACAATGCTTAACTGACAGTGTTTTATTGAATGTAAAGTTTTATTTCAATGTCCAATGTTCACCATTGTGCAATATGTTGACAGCACTGCATTACCGTAAGCTTGCTGAAGACATCTGTAGAATACAGTAGCCTATGTGCCTGTGATTCTCAGCCATGGTCAGTGGATTATATTCACCTGTTTGAAGACTACCTGCTGAAATCTAAAAAAGGTTAAGAAAATGTTTTCTATCCAGGGGTCTGATGCAGTGTGGCCAGTGGCATGTCTTGTGAGGAGGAGGAGGAGGAGGATGTACAGCATGTTGAGAAGTAGAGAACGTGACTGGATGGGGACAGTCCAAAAGCCACCCCGACTCCTGCAGCGAAGACTGTGTCCTCTGTTTGGGGGCCTGAATTGGACCCTTTGTCCATTGTGACCGGCCTGGACTGGTGTCTCACTGTTGTGTAATATTGTAGTGGCTGGAGAGGCTGTGCTAACAACTCTCCAAGAGCATCGCCCCACTGGGCTATAACTGATGGAATCAATGTTGTTTCCATGTCATTTCAATCCCAAAAAATAAATGTGATGGTGTTGAATCAATGTAGTAAACTAATTAATTTTGAAAAAAAGAATCGTCAACATAAGGGCATTTAGTATTTTTTTCAACCAACCTTTAACCTAAATCCAATGACATGGTGAATTTTTTGTTAGTTTACAACTCAACCAAATGTAAATCAAACCTAGAGGTTGAACTGACGTTTGTGCCCAGTGGGGCTCTTCTCCTTATTGTGTTTCTCAGTACGGTACAGTACTGTGCTTCTTCAATGCACTTCCTTCCTGTACGTTCTGGACTAATTGAATCTGTGAAAGACAGTTCCCTTCCCACTCATCTTTGATGATGCTTAAAGGTATGAGTACTGTGTAGATTAATTATTGTTTTAATGCACTTGCAGACCAGAACCGTTTTTTTAAAAATTGTTACTGCATTCCCTGCATTTAAAGGTGTACAATACATTGAAAAGGCAACAGCATTGAAAACTCTCCAGTGTCACATTCTGACGTTTTCTTAAGAATTATAAAGATGTATTTTTCCATCTGTCTATCTAGTCTTCATTCTTAGTACTGTAAGGCCAATGTGGGAGTACAGACAGACAGACTGACTGGCAAGCACAAGACGAGGTATAGTGCAAAAGAGAGACACGCAGACACACAGACATTGAGAGAGGCAGCCAAAAAGAGAGACATGCAGACACACAGACATGGAGAGGCAGCCAAAAAGAGAGACATGCAGACACACAGACATGGAGAGAGGCAGCCAAAAAGAGAGACATGCAGACACACAGACATGGAGATAGGCAGCCAAAAAGAGAGACATGCAGACACACAGACATGGAGAGAGGCAGCCAAAAAGAGAGACATGCAGACACACAGACATGGAGAGAGGCAGCCAAAAAGAGAGACATGCAGACACACAGACATGGAGAGAGGCAGCCAAAAAGAGAGACACGCAGACACACAGACATCGAGAGAGGCAGCCAAAAAGAGAGACACGCAGACACACAGACATGGAGAGAGGCAGCCAAAAAGAGAGACACGCAGACACACAGACATGGAGAGAGGCAGCCAAAAAGAAAGACATGCAGACACACAGACATGGAGAGAGTCAGCCAAAAAGAGAGACATGCAGACACACAGACATGGAGAGAGTCAGCCAAAAAGAGAGACATGCAGACACACAGACATGGAGAGAGTCAGCCAAAAAGAGAGACATGCAGACACACAGACATGGAGAGAGGCAGCCAAAAAGAGAGACACGCAGACACACAGACATGGAGAGAGGCAGCCAAAAAGAGAGACATGCAGACACACAGACATGGAGAGAGGCAGCCAAAAAGAGAGACATGCAGACACACAGACATGGAGAGAGGCAGCCAAAAAGAGAGACATGCAGACACACAGACATGGAGAGAGGCAGCCAAAAAGAGAGACATGCAGACACACAGACATGGAGAGAGGCAGCCAAAAAGAGAGACATGCAGACACACAGACATGGAGAGAGGCAGCCAAAAAGAGAGACATGCAGACACACAGACATGGAGAGAGGCAGCCAAAAAGAGAGACACTCAGACAAAGACAAGCAAACACAAACACAGAGAGAAATAGAGAGACAGACAGACAGACAGACAGACAGACAAACACCAGGCGTCAGGCTATAAGACAGACAGACGAGAACCCCTAACACAGAGACGATTGAGGCAGACTGACTGACAGTGAGGCCCACGTGTGAGAGCCAGCAAACAGAAAGGGAAAGAGTGGGTGAGAGAAAACAACTGCAGTGAGCAAGGGATGGAAGGAGGAAGTAATGAGCAGAAGGGTGTGGTCGACTAACGGTTCCTCACTGATTCCTGACTGACACACAGAGGAAAGAGGCCGTGGATACTGCTCTGGAACGAGCTCCGGAACTACGTGACATCTCAGTATGGACACCAAGGTGAGCTGAATGACTTTCATTGGGGACTCAAAGAGCGGAGGAGGAAGGGAGGGATTTTGGTACTCATGAGAAAGCGAGAGAGTAAGATATGTGAAGAGAGAGAGAGAGAGAGAGAGAGAGCGAGAGAGAGCGTGTGGCGGATGTTCGATATGGACAGACGGACGGACAAACAGAC